AGGGTCATAAAGAATAATTACGATTGGTAATGATATATACGCTAGTAATATTGATTTGATCAACATATCTCAATGTTGAACCCCTAAAATATGTATAGTCAATTTTGATTCAATAAATAAAACAAATTTTTTAAAAAAGAAAGAAAAATGAACACAATTATTTATTTATAAAGATATTCATCAAATATCATTTCCCACTAAAAAGAACCAGGGCTCCTTAGAGAAAGCAGATTCCAGGTCTGGGTTAAGAATTTTACAAAAGAATCCTGCAATAATATCCTGTCACACTAGAAATCAATAGAGCTATCAAAATATATAAGGGTAGTATTAAACGGATTCAGAAGACAATCTGAAAAAGCTCTCAATGGCAATCTGAGCATAAGAATTGTAACTGCAATGGATTAAAACACAGCTAATAGGTTTAAATCCATCATTTCACAACAGTATGTAAAAAATTAAAAAACCTCACCAGCCACCTTTGGAGGATGTTAGGGAAAACTGATATAGGAAAAGAAACAAGCCTATATAGTACTTTACACCAGAGTACCAAACAGTTAATGAGAACAAGTTTCTTCTTCATGGAAATGTTCCAAACAATAAACAAAGGAGGAAAGACAGAATTAGGAGTGTTGTTACGCAACCTCTAATGAATTAATGGATCTAGACAATGACCATTAATGGCTGCTAACGTCACAAAAAAAGACAACCAAGCATTTCATATCTTCTGATGGAAGTACACACCATCGCCTTTGAAGCAGTTTTGCTTAAAAACCAAAAAAATCAAACCTAAATTAATCACTTTTTTAGATATAACTACCAATTTACAGGAAATATACAGAATGAAGGAACATGTTAAACAGCACCATAAGGATGCAATCAGCAAAACCCAGAAAATGGAATAGTCTCCAGAAAGAATAACTTAATTTTTTTCAAGAACAAAGATATGATAATAGGGGAGGACTTGATCACACCTGTCTCAGTACTGGGCAGACCATCTAGGCAACAAACCAACAGAGGAACACAGTTAATCCATCAGATGGAGAGAACAAATCTATGGTTATTA